TAATAAGTTATTTATTATCCAACATGCCAAACTGTTAGTTTAGTACGGGCGAATTTCGAGGATATTTATTTACGGGGAGTACGTGACAGAAGTATGCGAAGCGGAACGGAATTTGCGCGTTGTCGTGTTACTGTTTCTATTTTCTTCAATAAATGAAGAAATTTCTTGGTCGTCTTGCTGTTTTTCTTCGTTCGATTCATCTTGTAACCTTGGATCTATATTTGCCAGCCATTTTGACTCTTCGTCGTCGGAAATACGATTCAAATTGTCCGCCATTTTTTTTTCGTAACTTCAATCCAATTTCGCTTGCGCGATGCGAGAAAACCTGTTTAACTCTACAGTACAAATACCGCGAGATATTTGTACTCGACGAAGCGTAGTTGGATAATAAATACAAATATTTGTGTTTACTTCCTGTCGCTTTCCAAGAATTGACCAAGACCTTCATATTGATGTCATGATATGAACGCCAATCAGTGGTCACGGGAGAGCGTTTTATTTGCATGCAGTTCCTGTTACTGATAATGTTCTGCGAGGGTTCAAAGGTATATATCTCATTGTCTGACAAAGTATTATTCTCATAAACTGTAAAGAACCAAGAGAGCTTTCGTTAAAGCTGAATTAGCAACAGAAAGACAGAGCATCCCCTGAAAACTTCGCTAAATTCTTATTGAAGATGGCAGCAACTCCATTCTCACTCGAAGGGATGCTAGTGTATTTCGCAGAAACATTCACAGCCGGTGTGATTCAATCTTATCAGGGGCAGGGAATTCTTGAAGACATCCCTTTGGCAGAACAACAAGATCCTTTGCAAGATTTTACAGAGTTCAATCAGCACGACACGGTCTTCCAGGAATACGATGCGCCAGCAGACGACAACAGCAAAATGGCTTGGAAGAGATCTCGACCAGAAAAATGGTGGATGTCGTTCTGGAAGGCCATGAAACACGCATTTTACATCCAAGTTGTCGGTGGGGTATCACTCGGTTCGCTTGCTATTTTGATACTAATTTTAGACTTTAATTCCGTTGATCTCTGCTTTGATATGCAGTCTACAAAGTGGGAGGCACTTCCAAAACGGACCCAGGCGGTGATTGTTACTGGGGCGACTAGCGAAGCCTACGTTGTTCAAATGTGGACATTTCTCGTTGTGCTGGTGATGTTTGGATGGCCAATGATGAAGAAACTGAACTTGTTGACTCTCAATTTGCTCGGTGCGTTTCTTGATAGTTGTTACAGACTATATCTTCAAGTTTATGGAATCTATATGATATCTTGGAGGTCGTTTCCTTTGAATGGTCTGTTCGTGTCGATTTTGCTCATGAATAGTTTACTACTTGGCAGAGAGGTTGCAAACAACAACGACGCCCTAACCACAAGGAGATCTAGAATCAAGAAAACCTTAAGGGTTTCTGCGATGCTGACGGCTCAGTTCGCTTTTGGCATACCGATCACATTTTACCTCGTTTATAAATTGATTCCGATGTATGCAAACGCAAAGGAAACCTATAGAGCGATCATCGCCGGCGGACTCCCGCTTGTTACTGCTATACCAAAGGTCATCGTGCGTTTGGCGGCGCAAAGAGTAGACTTCTTTCACCCAGGAGACGCACACGTGCTTTTGAGTGTACTGTACTACGCCTCCGCTATCGTTTTCCGAGTGATGCAGGCAGACCTTACCAGTCTTCCACTGTTTATTGTGCTGAGCTTTGCACACGGTGCTGTAGATTTGCTAGAAAGGTTGACCATTGTTGTGCGAGACTATTGCTGGTATTTTATTTACAAGAAACTGAAACGGGACGGTAGAGAGACTTTCATTGCTGCAAACAGATTCCGTACCCCCAGAAGTATGCGCTTTATCGCAGACATGAGCATTCAGATTATTCTCGGAGAATCAACTGCACTGATCGCAGCTGTTGGATTCATACAGCTGTTTAAATTCATGTACTACCCTGAAACATCGCCCTCCTCCAACATCCAATTTGTAACACAGTTCTTTCTTCGCGTGTCAATCGCTCTAAGCATCGATTTCTTTTTCAATTCGTTCTCGTTTTGGTTGCAAATGTCTTACTTAAATGTTGCGGTGGTGCGAGTTTGGAAGGAGAAATGGCGAAAGCACATGCTTGTTGCTTTTATTCTGACTGCTTTGACATTATGTTACTACACGACTCATTTGTTTGCAGTGGTTGAAGCGAAAAACACTTCAGGCGCCAAAAAGCCAAATTTCAGCTGCACAGGGCCATTTGCAAAGTTTTAGATCAGAGTTTCGTCAAGCAAACTACTTCCCTACCACTCCGAGAAAAAGCTAGAATTACTTTTGTCTTCTGCCGCCAGAGAAGAACGCCAGTGACTTTGTTGACAATCAGTAGTTGCGCGAAAGACAGCCACACTCTATCGGGTACAACTGTTACGTGGGAAGGTAGAACACTGGAGAGGTCACAGTTAAATACTTAGGTAGTCATTCGCTTTGAACCTGACACGTCGAAAGTGTTTAATTTTTCCAATAGTTTTCGTAGCTTGATGGCTGCCTTGGGGAGTTTTTCTCGAAAATCATAATTTCTGCAGTGTATCCCGATGGAACGTTTGTAATATGCGCTGTTATTCGACGTCAGTATAGTTATTAGCAAAACAGTGCACATCAGTTCAGGGAAGTTACGCATTGGCGCATGGAGTAAATTGCAAGGAATGCATTTTTTTCTCGCTTATTCTTGTAGTCAAGATAAAATTAAAAAATGAAAAGATCCATCGTCTTTGCTTCGCTTTGCTCATCGACATTCTCGAACCCAGCGTATTCCATTCCAAGAGCATATTACGGGATGGAGCGAATCAGCATACACGGAATTCGTTCGAACTTCAAAAGACCAGAGTCTGGCAACGTAAAAGAGCACTTCCTGAAATAGAAAATTTTTTCTCGTTTTCTTGTCCGATTATTGAGGTATAGTTGAAGACGTCGCGGCCCAACAAGAGCGCTGAACACGCAGTCCGGAGGTCCGGGTTTGAGTTCCGCTCGGACAATTAACTAGATTTGGTCCACGGCAATGCTGAGTCCAACTCCTCCTCAAGCACGCCTGTCGGGGGGAGGGGGGGGGGTTACCGCGTAAAAATGGATTTAAATCAATGTTTGGCTGTTAATTGAGTAAAGTGCCTGTAACCGAGCTGTAGTGGCTGAGTGTTCTTCCGCAAGACATCACAGCATCTCGCGATGATAATTTTATCCATGAGCGTTGTCTCTTACATTTACATTTATTTCGAATTTATTTATAGAAATCCGATTTGTTGGCACCCTGTGAAAAATGATTTTAACACATAGGAAAAAAAAAACTTCTTTTTTTAAAACAAAGTGTTTAAAACTCACGACACACTATGCATCAAACATCAAAGTTCTTTGAACTAAAACGCCGGTTTCCTCGCACTTGCCTTACAAGATGTCGTTGGGCACAAAGCCACAAAAATTTCAAGCTGTAAAAATCTGTACCTCCGACATGAGCGCACTATATATTGCACTACGGACAACCAATCCAAAAATATGCCAGTGGTTCCTGCAAGCACGCGTCATCCCGGCGCACTTTCGATTTAAATCTCCAATCTCCGCACTTTCCCTGTTTCCCATAGGGGTGAGGGGGGGGGGATTTTATTTCGCTGCGCAATCACGTTCGCGATATCTCTACCCTATCACACGCCTCAGTCTGTCTGAAGTGACTGAGTTCTCTTTAAGTTTATTCTCAGCTTGTCAAGCTGATATTACGGTGGAAAATACGATCTTTGTTATAAATAGCTCCGCCGTCTTTCTCACATTGATTCCTGTAATTCCGTCTTTATACTGTTTATCTCCTTCTCCAATGTCTCTTTTTCCGTTTCCAACGCAGCTGTTCTTTTGAGATTCACCTGTAATCTGTTCTCCAGTGTTTGAAGGAGAGGTCCACACATAACCTCCATGAGCTGGCACAAAGCCTTGGTAAAAACTGACGAAATAAAAAAAAGATAAACACATCCTCGATCCGCGATATTAAGGAATGCAGGGTTGGGAGAAAAAAAGGAGTGGGGAGAGAGGGGGGTGGGTGGGTGGAATCTGAATTGGGAAGTAAAACTAGTGGGGGAGGTGAGGTGAAGAGTAAGACTAAGGAGGGGTGGGGAGATTGGTGAAATGCTAGTAAGGTAGAATGACCTGGGATAACACTGATGATGTTTTTAACTGACAGAATAAGGTTAGTCCCTCATCTCATTAATTTACTAATTTAGACGAAATGTATTTGAAGACAAAGTACTGCTGAAGTTTTCAAGACATAAATGGAAGGAGATGAAAATTTACTTTGATAAGAATCCTTTCCCTCACCAAGAACACATAGGAACTTAACAGAGGTACGTTGTGGAGTCACAGAAACGAAGAAATACAATATTATGATCACTTGCGGCACAACAGATCTTGGAATGTTACTAGCAGAACAAGGTATTCACAGGGCTTAACAAGGGTCCTTGGTCCCAACAAGAATTCTGCCCCTGACAAATTTCCTCCTGAAACATTCCAGAACATTGTGCACAAATTGACCCAAATCACAGGTTATAGATGCAATAACTGTGTCCACCAACCTGTACTATTATGAACTGCTGTTAATAGATCCTTAGAGCTGAAGTAAAAATGGTACAATTAAGTTTCAGACTTAAGTGGAGAGAATACCCAGATGTAATAAAATGAAAATAACAGGCTGAGAAAATGGCTAAGTTGTTTCAAACCCAATTAAAACTAATCCTGGGTGTATTTCAAACTAAAAGATGCTTTCAGTGTTCTTCAGTGATTTTTTAGAAGCCAGGCATTAAAATGACACCAGCCAACAAAGGTTAAAATTTGTATTAGAACAAAATAAGTATTTCACTCTTTACTTTGTAGCATTAAACTAGCCAGTGCTTCCAAAACAAGTAGTTGGTCAAAATGGCATTCCTAAGTACTCTTTGCCTATTGTCTTTATTTTCTGATAGTGTTTTTTTGTGGATGAACATCAGTACTAGACAAGATACAAGGAAGTACACAAAACTTGAAGGCAAAATGACAATATTTTAGGGAGTATTTCTAGTGAGGGAAAACTTACTTCAAAGTTTTACTGTATGCCTCTTCTTCTTCCTTTAGAATAAAAAAAAAACAAGGAGTCCACCACATGTTCTATTGTCTGTGCTTAACAAGTAAGTGAGCATTTGAGTGATGCACTGTTACTGGTTCAAGGTGAGCTTGGTGCAAAATTAATTGTATAAAATGAATCTTCCTGTCAACACAAATCGAGTGCTGTGTTGTTCTGTTTGAAGCGAGTTTGCTATGCACCAGTGATTAACTACACAGTAAGCTTGATTGCCTGTGGTTTAGGTAGACAATTTACAAATTATTTTGATGCCCAAATAAATCCTTTGATAGAGAAATGGGCATGTATATCTCTGTAAAAGTGGTCTATAAGGTGGTCATTTTTAGAATGAATCACCCTTCTTGAAGGAATCATTCTATCACCTTACCTTTGAGAGTATTTGTGGCAGTTCTGACAAGCTGTTTAAAGTGGCCTTTGACAAAACCTCTGTATGGACTATTTGCAGCTCAATGTCAGCTCGCTGATACCTGTTGTAAAAGAAAAAAAAAATAACACAGAGTACTTTGTTTACGAGATACATACTGGCACACATCACAAGAGAGTAGTGAGGTTGTCATAGTATGTTATTTCATCAGATTACATGTCTGTGAATTATTCAGTTACAATTATGGTAAGCATGAACAATCAAGCAATGCATGGAACTGATTTGAACAATCATCTAATCCAGATACTTGTAAATAATGCTTTCAATTCATGTCAAAAAAGAATCAGTACTGCATGCTGCATGCTTCAGGAAAACATTCAAAGTGTCATGCTGGTTGAATGTGTTTCAGTTATTTTAGATGGCTTTTTGCTAGTAACTATGGCAGTACTAGTGTGGATAGTGAACTTACTGTGGAGGACTCCCCTCAGTTTTGAATGTGTTTCAGTTATTTTAGATGGCTTTTTGCTAGTAACTATGGCAGTACTAGTGTGGACAGTGAACTTACTGTGGAGGACTCCCCTCAGTTTTGATGTTCACTGACTGAAAACAATACACTTTTAAATGGCCACTCTGAAAGAAATCATGGTGACAAAAATACTTAACAGGGCTTACTTTTCTAAAAGTTACCTTGTAAGTTACCATAAGTTAAAGGGTGGTAGCCTGATATGACTGTTTGGTTGCCAGAAAAAAAATATCACTTTGAGCAACTTTACATGACCCAATAAGCTGCTGACCGGACTGCCTTTGTTTGGAGTGAGTGCTAATAGGTATTGACCCTGAGAGACTCACATGCTATATATCAAGGCTTAAGACAACACCAACCACAGAAAAAGTGGCAAAGTTTCATTTTAAACAATGACAAAGCACAAGTAATATGTTATGAAAATGTTAATCTTTTTTGAACTTGACAGCCAGAAAATAATGATAGCAGGAATGTGAGAAACTGTGTTGTAACATTTGATGACTTGGTTCTTATGGTCTGAATTCAGACCATAAGAAACAAGTCATAAAATGTTACAACACAGTTTCTCACATTCCTGCTATCATTATTTTCTGTCTGTCAAGTCCAAGAGAAGTTAAATACTATTTTGTAAACTTTGCCCCATTTACAAGGGTTTTTTTGACCTACTAATACTCTCGTACAGTAGACTCGACGTGTGTTAAAGCAAAGCGTTTAATAAAAAAAAACTCTCATTCATCTTACAACGGATGTGTAAAAATTCTCGAAAAGGTGGGGCCCTAGTGTTATATATGGGGATATCATGCAATAGAACGTCTAATCGGATCTCTCATTGGTCACTGCTAACTGATAATCAATCAAAGTTCCGTATGATGCACGATCCTCGCAGTAGATAGCGCTATTTAAGCAATACCGAAAATCAGACCTGATTTTTTTCAGGTCTGATTTTCGCTATTGCTTAAATAGCGCTATCTACTGCGAGGATCATGCATCATTCGTATCTAATACCATATGAACTTCATATATTTCATTGTATCCAATCAAAGTTCGTTTAAGGTTACCTCATTCAATGGTGTTAATTAAGAAACTAAACATCTGTTCTACTCAAATTACGAAGTCTCCGACAACTATGTGTGAGCCACTCACCAAATTGGGATCAGTGTTGAAACAAGAAAAGATAAGACCCACAAATCCTGCATCCATAAATTGGTAAGAGGCCTGTGTCCGCAGGTCTATCACACAAGTAACAATTATTTCACTTCTGCATCAATTCACAAGCTACCTTTTTTTTTAGAATTTGCTACTTAAGTGTCATGTCATTCTCCGCCATTAGGATAGCATGATATTCTTGAAATCAGTAAGGACATGCTCACATCTCATTTGGACAAACCTCTTACCCTCTGTTTATAACTAGTTCTTTTATCTTGGTTGATGAAATTATTTTGTCCATTTGTTATTCTAATTTATTACACGACTCAGGCAGTCAGAGGGCCAATAACTAAAATCAACCAATCAAATTGCTCTATTGCCGGTCCAATATTCTCTAAGTATTGGACCGGGCACTGTCCCGAATGGTCCCGAATCATGATACCACACTTGTGTCCCTTTGAACTTCAGTCGTATAATAAATCTCTTATTAACCAAGCTTGCTTGGGACCGTACTGGAAGAATATCGGCCCTCGGTCTTTTTTGTACGGACCTCGCTACGCTCGGTCCGTACTGTCAAGACCTCGGGCCGATATTCTCCCAGTATGGCCCTCGCGCTTGGTTAATGAGATATTCATATCTCCCTGTAGGTGCAGTAAGTGGGCTTATGAAGATATCAGAGAGGTCCATAAAAGGCGGTATCTTTTTCAGGTATGTTTCCTTTGTTGTACGGCAAAGATGTGATATAAGAAACTTCAGACTCAGTAGACTTCGAAGGTTGATGAGGCTCGTTTCAAAGATTGTG